GGGGAACCCAGTCCTACCCTGTGCTCTGGGTTCTGGCCCATGGCCTTGTGCTGCACACCTAAGTGAGGCCCTTTATATGTATTGCAGTTTTTGCTGGGCCACTTCCTAACCTCACCTCTGGGTCTCCCAGTCTCTTCCCTGTTTGATCAGGATCATACCCAGGCCTCCCTGCCTGGAGAGCAGTCTTCACTTTCTCTGCTTGGCCAGGGTCCCCTTGCAGCTCAAAGCACATTACAAACATTCATTTACTTAACCCCCCAGAACACCCATGAGACAGATAAAGTATCATTCTCCCTGCTAACCAAATTGCCCAAGGCCAGCGAGAGGAAGAGAACCCAGGAGTCCTGGTTCCCAGCCTCTGCTCAGGCTTCTGGACCATGGCAGCTCTTGCACACATCAGAACAAACACACACATGGCAACATTAGAATGGAAAACAAAACCTCTTGAATCCTACCCAGAATGATGCCAAAACTATGCTTTATGCAGTATTGCTGTAGCTACATTGATCCCAGGATATTAGAGAGACCAGGTGGGTGAGGTCATATCTTTTATTGGACCAGCTTCCTAAAAGGTATGACCTCACTCAACTTGTCTCTCTAAAAATGTGCTCTGATTTATAGGAGAGAGAATGCCAGAGGCTCCAGTCCTTAAAGAAAGCACCTCCCAAACCTCCCCCTTTGCCATCCCTCCTCACGTAGACACAGATACACACACAGAATTCTGCTGTAATTCCGGACAATCTCAAGCCAGTCTCTCTGGTCACAGTTTTCTGTGAGGAACACATAGATGCAAAAGGCATTTCCATATGAAGATTATTATTAAAGAGCTTTAAATACTAGCAGTAAACCCTTTGACACATTCATTTAAACCAATAAGGCTTTCTAGGAATTATACTATGTTTAATGATACTTAATGATTTGTTGCCAGGGGACTTAGAGTTCCTATTTAGCAATAATTTATAACACCAGACAGGAGGTGGACTGTCTCTGACTGGGGGAAATATCTGAAACTACAGCTGTCGTGAAAGAATCCAGTTTGGAAAGTTAAGTGGGTAATAATGGATTAAATAGAAAGAATATTTGGAGAGTTAAATACATGTCAAGTAAAAAATAAATATAAAACTCTTCCAGCAGCTATATTTTACTGATAGATAGATAGATAAATAGTATGGGGATAGATAGATAGATAGATTAGATTAGATGGATGTGGTGTATGGAAATAGATAGATGGATAGATAGATAGATTGTATGGGGATAGATAGATTAGATGGATGTGGTGTATGGAGATAGATAGATAAATTGTATGAGGCTAGATAGATAGATAGATGATGGGGTGTGTGGGGATAGATAGATAGATAGATGGTATTATTTAAAGCCTTTCAGGAAAGTATCTATTGATCTGATAGCTCACACACAAAGCCCACACACTCTGTCTAATTCTCACCGATTCTCCTTGACACAGGCCCCAATTCAGCAAAGCGCTAAAGCACATCCTGAGCTTGAATCACATGCTGAAGTGCTTTGCTGAAGCGAACTCCCCAGGTCTCGTACAGAAGGTCCTGCAGCCCCTTACTCACTGGGTCCGCTCACCTGAGTACAGATGACTCACTTGTGTGAAGCTTGAGGGCTCAAACCCTGATTCTGCCTCGACCTAACGCGGTGGACTTCAAGGAGATGGCATGGGATGTACGCAAGAGCGTGTGACCACTGTTGTAATCCGGCTATTATTTATTCACTTATGCTTTAGGCCATGGCTACACCACAGGGCCTTATGCTGTATACTCACCCTGGTCTAGCACAGCCCTACCCTGACGGCAGGAGGCGTTCTGCCACGGGAGGAACACCACCTCCCAACCCCTAGCTTTGCCACTATCTGGTTTTCTCACCCCCAACCAACATGTCGCTATGCCAGTCTGTTTAAAATGTAGATCAGGCCAGAGTTTCACTACGTCATTCAGCTGTTTGTGTTTATAGAGCTGTAACTATCTTATTAACCCTGTAATGCCTATGAAGCTATAAGTAGACATTATATTCTCTGGTCCATGGGGGACCTGATTCCAATCCCAGCCTACCTGCAAATTATAGCGCAGTTTCTCAGCTCCCTGCTAAGGGCCCAGTTCCTGTTACCAGCATAGGGCCCGAGCCAAAGTCCTTTGGAAGTCAGAGGCTGGCTTTTCCATTGATTTCAACGGGCTAATGGTGCAGACACATGGCCAGCAGAACACATAGCCTTCCCTCCAGGTGTAATTAACACAAGACTTTTGCTGCAGTTAAGTCAGGCAAATATTTCCCTTCCCTACTTGCAAAGTGTGTAACCAGCTGCATTTCCCCCCCTCTTCCACCTGCTTCTTTCACGTGGGTGTCAGCACTTTGATTTGTGCCAAGCTGGCTGGTGTTATTCCCCAAGACTGGTGAGCAATGTGCAAGAGCGCCCCCCCCCCTTTCCAACCGCCAACACCTGAAGATTATTGTCCTGCAACCATTACTCATCCCTGCCCACAGGTGTTTGCCCCTTCGCCCAGACCGAACAGGCACTTGAATGCCGCCTTGGCTTGGAAAGCTCTGTAAGCTGATGTTCATAAAATGGGGGAAGAAAACAGCGGGGCAGGGGAGGGTGTTTCTTGCTCTGGTTCAATTGCTTTTCGTGCTCATTTTTCTTTGTTTTTTCCCCTTCTTGATGCTTGTTGGGGGGAAGAGGGATTTGGAGAACTTTGGAAGAAGAGGAAGAAATGTATTGTATTGCAATAGCTGCTCCTGGGAGCCTGTCAATGGAGCCTCCTGCTCGGCGCTGTACATGTGACAAAGTGTTTGTTTTGTTGGTGGGTCGTTGTCTCTCCAGTTGGGTGTTTTTCTTGCTTTGATTTGATTGTGTTTAGTTGTTGTGTCTGGGCGTTTGGATTGGGAGAATGTTTTTGTTTGGGGGGCGGGGGGTTTTTTTGCATGATTTGTATTTGTTTCCTTGGGAAGTTTTATGTTTCTTTTAAATATTTATTATGAATTAATATTATTTATTTCTGGTTGATCGGTTAGTCAGTGGGGGCGGGGGGGGGCTGTTTAGCTGCCTTTTGTTTCGGTGAGCTTTGGCTAGTTGGTTTTGTTTTCATATCAAGGGACTTTTTTCTTTTTTTTTTCTTTTTTCTTTTTAAACCCTGAAATTTTAAGGGGAGATTTTTACCTCTCAGGGATTCACTTTCCAAACTCTCTCTCCTGCAGCATCGCAGAGGAGACGGACGGCTGCGGTTGCAGTGGAAAGAGAAAAGCAGGGCACTCAGCCTTGAGCTCAGCCGCCCGCAGCCCAGCGGAGCCTGGCCCGGGAAGACCGTGACCCCCGCAAGGGAAGCAGGCTACCAACATGCCGAATACAGCAAAGCCAGCCGGGCCGGCGATTGCCGCGCAGTGCAGCCAAGGACCCCGGGACAGGCAGAGGCCCTGGCTAAAGCAGATCGCCCTCGGCAAAGAAGAAACGTGCCTAGGGGGGAGATTAACCCCATTGCTCCCCTGGCCCCCGCATGTGTGGGGCGAACACGGGCGCAGGGTGCAATTCGGGCTCCCTGGGAACCCATGGCAGTGATTTCGCCTGCAGGGGCAGAGCGGGGAGTAGCCCTCCAGGCCAGGAGCAGCGTGCCCCTGATGGAGTTCAAAGGAAGCATTTGTCCTCCTCTGGTCTCCGTCTCCCCCCGCCCACCAGGCTCTCCCAGCCGGTCCCCATTTCCCAAGCCCTGGTGTCTGTTTCGGTGCTCCCCCTGCGAGGGCCGGTGTTGCATTCAGGGGATGGGTGCGGGGTGATTTACCTCTGTCCCTTTCCCTCCTAGACCGTGGATTCTGGAAGGGGAGGAAGAATAATGCCATTCTCTTCTTGTCAATTGCATTTACACAATGCCCCCCCCCCACACCGCCCCCACTGTAATACGCCCCTTGTGGCACAGTGAAAAGGGAAGCCCCTCTTTCCTGGGCGGCTTTAGCTTGTCTGGGAGGCAGTTTCTGCGCTCCAGATAGAGGGGAAAAGCTCCCCATTTGGACCCCCTCTGCAATAAACTTCCACAAACCACGGGGTGGTTTTGCTCTTTTCAAAAAAGTACTGATTTTTTCAGACGACATGTTCTCCTTTTGACCCGCAATCCTCTCTGTGCCTGTCATATACAATATGGAACAATGCAAGCGCTTCCCAGGCGCATCGACTTCATATACTGTGAGAAGGAGACAGAGATTGTAACCGAGCACAGACCTCCAGCTTGTGTGGGACGTATGCCTGGGGACGAGATAGCCTGTTCTAATATCAACTGTGTAGATTAGCTAAACCGGGAGGCTAATTACGTGCAGGTGATCGGAAGAAAAAATGGCCTGACTGACTAAAAGGACCAGGGGAGACGTGGGGAAGAAAAGCCAAAAATCTCCAAGATCCGGTGGAGCCGGGCCGGTGAGACACAGAGCAGAAGCTGGCTCGGTTATTTGGCTTCTGGTACTTAAACCAAAAAAGATCGTGGAATTAAAACGCAAGCCTAGGGAAAGTCATAAGGGGACCCTCACCCCAGCTCTTCCAGCCAAATCCAGCAGATCCTTGCCAAAGGGAGAGCTGCCAGATCCTTCCCTCCCCGTTGGGAGCTCTGGGTGCTTTCCTGTGCTGGGATGAAGGTTTAAACAAGGACAGACCTGGCGTGGGTGACTGGGCGGCGCATTTCCAGCCAGTCCCAGGAAAGCTGAGGGGGAGTGGGGAGCCCTGGAGCGCTTCAGGCCTGCGGGCGGCAATAAGGACCATCGAGCTGTAGAGGGAAGGCAGGATAGGCCCAGGGGGAGTCCTGGTCCCTCTGTTTTAGCCCAGGGGGCTGGGCTGGGATTAGAGAGTTAATAAACCTGATGAGGGACGCACGTGACTGGATCCCTAGTGATTTAAGTCAGGCTGAGCCCGGTTTTCTGAGGGGGGAGGGGGTTTGCGATCCCTCCCCGCTCGGCTCAAAGTCTGCGCCGCGGCTGGGTCCCCGCAGCCCCGTTATCTGCCGGCCATGGAGGCGCAGGGCTGCCTCTCCTTCTGCCCCAGCGCACCCCCGCCACCGCCCGCAAGCAAAGCCCCCCCAGCTCCAGGCCTGCAGCGGCGCACTTTCCAGGGCACCCAGAAGCTACCGACCCCCCCTCAGCATCACCCGCTTCCCCCGCAGCCCTTGCGGCTCAGCCCCAGGCCGGGCCGCTACCCGGACACGGACCCTCCAGCCCCGGAGAAAGCGGCCCACAAATACCTGGAGTCCCCCAGCCCGAGCCACCAGGCGCTGTCTGTCAACGGGAAGGCTTTCTACCAGGCCGTGGCCGAAGGTAAAGGGGGGGTCTGGGCCCTGCACTGGCCTCCCGGGGGCAGGAATAGCCAGGGGTGGGTAAGAAGGGGTCGTGCTGGGAGCGAAGGTGGCCCTGCACACAGGCACCGACGGCCAGGGCTGGGGCAGCCGGACCCGGCGAGGGGGGGACTGTGTGACCTTAGCCAATCTCTCTGAAAAGCGTTACAGAACCACTGCTGGGGAGGAAGAGCCTTTTATGAAACGCATTGCCATCTGTTTCTCCTCTCCCCCTTCCTTCCTGGGATAGCGCTTCCCTTGTCTCTCTGTCTTTCCTTCTTGTCTGTCTGTTTCTTTCTTTCCTTCCTTCTGTTTCCTTCTTTCTTGTCTCTCCTTCCTTACGTTTCTTCCTCTCGTGTTTTCTTTCTTGTATGTGTGTTTCTTTCTTATCTCTATCTCCTTGTCTTGCTTGTCCTCTTCCTTGTCTGTCTTCGCTTTCTTTCTTTCTTTCTTGCTTGCTTGCTTTCTTGTCTCTCCCTCCTTCCTTGTTTGTTTGTTTCTTTCTTTCCTTCTTTAGTGTACGTCTCCTTCTTTCTTTTTTATTTCCTCGTATGTTCCTTTCTTTCATCTCTCTCTCCTTCCTTGTATACTTATTTCTTTCTCTTCGCATTTTCCCTCCGAGCCCAGTGATTGTATTTCAGACACTATACAGCGGTTCTGGGCTTTTCTCTCATTGTTTTCCAGAGCAATAAGCAGCTCAAATGAACCTGTGCAATCCGCCCCCATCCCTCCCCCCTGCATGGTAGAACTGTCCCGTTTTCTCCCTCATTTCATTCGATTCCAGGGTCGACCCTGCAATCCTCCGGCAAAGCTCCCGTTGAAGCCAAACCTGCAAGGTTGGGGGGATTCAGAGGGATCTCCGAGCAAATTGCAAATTCCCACCTCTCGCTTGCAAAGGGGAGGGGGGAACGCGGGACAGAGGACCAGGGAATTTATTTGAACTTAAAACTGAAAAATAAACTTTGTTTGGCAATTCACAGAAATCCCCCCTAATACTCCAGGAAAATCAAACGAGTTGTTTTCTCTGCCGGTTCTCCTTAGCATTGACAAGCACCAAATTGTAATAATCCTCACGGGATCAAACTCCCTGCATTTTTTCAAAGATAGACAAAGCACCGCATAGAGCAAAGAAAGATATTTTACATAGTCCTTCTCGGTCATTCTTTTTTCTTTTCTCTCCTCTCTTTCTGTTTGGCTTCTACACATTTATTCTGTGATCAGCTAGATCAGAAATCGAAGGAACTTTGAAGGGAAAGTGTTTTTTTCCCTCTCAATCTTGTTCTGACTCCACATCTTATCCCTCCTTCCCGCATCTGTTTCTATTTTTGTGTGTTTTTAAATTCACTTTCTAAAATGTCTAAACTAATAATAATAATAAAAAAGCCCTTCCTGAAATGCTGGAACAGTTATTTCCTTCGTATTTATATTTAACTCTGGGTGGTGGTTTTCTTTCCTTTTCATCTATCGATCTAACTATTTCCATATTTGTTGGATTTTAACAATAATTGGTCATAGATACAAAAGGTCGTCGTCCGTCCCCCCACGTGCTGCAATATTAAAATTGGGGAAAGGTATATTAGGAAACAAAGGAAAGCAGAGAGAAACGTCTATTGGTGAATGAATGTTGCCTATGATAGACCAATATATCAAGAGGTCAGTTTTCGTTTTATGGACCCCAGGTTAGCTTAAATTATTTGCTATTCCATTGTTAAGTATTACCACGATCAACATTGTGCTTAACAATAGATGTGAACATACTGGGATTTATTATCACCATAATAATCATCTGCGATGTGCAACGCTGCATAAATCGTGCAGCCAAATATTATCGAAATTCATTAAGAATTGCGCTCTTGCCAGCCTCCTGCGCGCAAAGATTTACGCACGGGCTTAATTTTACAGGCAACGGGGGAAATCCTGAGCCCAGTAAAATCAACCGAGAGTTTTGCCATTGACTTCAGCGAGGGCAGAATGTCTCCCCTGTAGGACAGACCCTGCCCCTTGTAAGTCATTCCCAAAGTTCCCCTTGACTTCAGTGGCGCAGAGTCAGATTTAGTCAAGGAACCAGCGGGCAAAGTTAAGCGTGTGGGTATTCGGACTTTGAGAATCCAGCCGTGTTGGTGGGGGCTTTACCTGGAGAAATAAGAAAGGAATATTATACATACATAGAAGTTAGAGTGCCTGTAATTTCTACTGAAAACTGTGGGAAGGAACTGGATGGAGATTGCTCCCACCGCTCCATCCTTTGCTCATGCAGACTGGGGGATCCCGTGTAATAACCCCCTTGTATCTTCCTCGCTCAGGCAAGCAAGCTGTTATTGAAGTCTATGGGAACGAGGAGCACAGGACTGTGGGGTCAAATCCGGGCTCCCCCGGAGTCAATGGGATTTTTGCCGTTGGCTTCGATGCAGCCGGGATTTCACCGCAGCCGGTGTGGACCTGGGCTTTGCTTTTTTTCCGTGCAAAGCGAGCATACCACAGTGATTTTCTCCACCAGCGAAGAGGGCAGTTTCAGAAGCTGAGCAGCGCAAAAGGAGATGGGGGAAATCAGTGCAGAAAATAAAGAATGGAAAAAGCCGAGGCGAGGTGCGAGGGAGGTTGTAAAAGTTCTGGGCTCCTTGGCAATCGCACAAAGCTTTCGAGAGAAGAGAAGCTACTTTCCTGTCTTGACAATTCGCTGCTCACGTTTGTCTCCTTGTCTTTTCCCCAGATAATTGGCATTTGGGGCGCTATTTAAAATCCCCTTATTTATACACTCAGATTACTGCCCAAGAGGATTCGGACAGAGAGGGGTTAAAACACGGAAGGCGAGGGCATTACATTGACTGTGAATGGCGTCCTAATGCTTTGAAAATCTGCAAAGCCCCTTAGATCCTTTGGCCCGAAAACCATCCTGGATATTAATGCCGGGTGATCTATAGCGTTAGATAATGATGAATCCAAACCTACCAGTCTGCAAGCCAAAACACAACGCTGGGGGATAATAATCTAATCTAGAATAGGATTGTTTTTAACGTATTATTATTTCATAATACCTAGCTCTTAAAAATAACCAGACTTGAAAATGATAAAACACAAACAATATATACCTGAAGGATAATACTCTACGGACATTAATGCTAACAATGCAACCTAATAAAAGGCAAATAACAACAAACACTAACAGACAACATAATGATACCTACCGATACAACAAACTTTGATGATGCTGATGACAGCAGGAAAATAACACTAGAATAAACAACACACAAAATATTACACAGCTAAAATAATCATCCAGTATAATAATAATCAAATGCTAATTAATTATAACAATGACGGTTGCATTGATGTTAAAATAACTGAATAACAGAACATCAACAATGAGTTTCAGCCATAACAATACAGTTATTAAAAAAAGAACAGGAGGACTTGTGGCACCTTAGAGACTAACAAATTTATTAGAGCATAAGTTTTCGTGGGCTACAGCCCACTTCATGGGATGCATAGAATGGAACATACAGTAAGAAGATATATGTACAGGTTTCAGAGTAGCAGCCGTGTTAGTCTGTATTCGCAAAAAGAAAAGGAGGACTTGTGGCACCTTAGAGACTAACCAATTTATATATACACATACATACAGAAAACATGAAAAGGTGGAGTAAGAGGCCAATTAATTAAGATGAGCTATTATCAGCAAGAGAAAAAACTTTCCTAGTGATAATCAAGATGACCCATTTAGACAGTTGACAAGAAGGCGTGAGGATACCTAACATGGGGAAATAGCTTGAATATGTGTAATGACCCAGCCACTCCCAGTCTCCATTCAAACCCAAGTTAATGGTATCTAGTTTGCATCTTAATTCAGGCTCAGCAGTTTCTCGCTGGTATCTGTTTTTGAAGCTTTTCTGTTGCAGAATTGCCACCCTTAAGTCTTTTACTGAGTGGCCAGAAAAGTTGAAGTGTTCTCCTAGTGTCAGATTTGTGTCCATTTATTCTTTCGCATAGAGAATATCCAGATTGGCCAATGTTATTGTTCTTCTTTCACTCCATTTTTCACCATTAAATAACCTCTGGACTTCACTGCCACTTATTAATTACTGTTATGGTTAAAAAGTGGCTGTGAGTTCCAACGGTTAATGATCAGTTACTGTTCTTGTTAAAGTGGCCCTGAGTTCCAAGGGTTAGCTCAGGGTGACAATGCAGCAGCATAATAAACTAAAATAATGACACTACATCTTACCGAAAGGAATGCCCTGCAATTGCATCAGGTGTCTCCGTGCTGTTGGGGTTCCCACACATGGATACCCAGCCTGCCCGACCTGCAATTCCTACCCCCCCCCCAGATGTAAATCCTTTTCCCTTCAGATGAGCTTAAGCCCCGTTTCCCATCCCAGCAGCCCAGTCATAGACCCTGGCCCCGCTGCTGAAATCAAAGGCAGAAAACGGGGCATTTGTTGAATCTTCCATTAAAGCGCAGGCCCGAAGGGGGGGGCGGGGAGCAGGAGCCGCTCCCCGCCGCCCCAGGGCCTGCAAAATGCAAACGCAGCTCGGGCTTATTGTCCCTGCGCTGCTCCGTAAAGCTGGGGAGGAGAGCCCCGTTCTTTGGGCCAGAGAAGCAAGCATTCATCCTTCGCTTTCTCCTTGCTTTGTATGCTCACCTAGGGGCTACAGTACTTCACAAATCAACACTCTCTCCTGGCGCAGCTACTGGCTGTAGGTTTCAGAGGAGCAGCCCTGTTAGTCTGTAGCCGCAAAAAGAACAGGGGGACTTGTGGCACCTTAGAGACGAACCCATTTATTTGAGCATCAGCTTTCCTGAGCTACCGCTCCCTTCATCGGAGGATCTAGCATTTGTGCGTCTAAAATATACCCACGCAAATCCGAGAACATTCCCATCCCATTTGGAAGAGCAGTACCCATATTTTGGCTAAAATCCTGAACGGTTCTGCGTCTCCGTTATTTAGAAACCATGTTCCAGTTGCTGAATTAATTTCAAACCTC